GCTAATGGTGTATTGTGGGTTGTTGAATCTAGAGGCTGCTGATTTTTGTCTTGTGCTTGTTTTATGCCTTTGTTTTTGCACTGGTAGAGGTTGAACTCAGGACTTTGTGCATGTCAGGAACACATACTGTCAATGAGCTAACTCCTCTGCCCATGCTTAGTGTTCTGATCTCTGGTGCAGCAAAGAAAAACTTTGTAATTCTCAGAGAAAGAGCAGTTCACTTGCCTCTGTTTTTTCTGGTCTCCTGACTGGTTAAATGATTATCAGTCAATATTAAGGGTGAGCATCCCTAAATGATCCATTTAGACCCACACTGATCTTTGGACCACCTCACAGACATATCCAAGATGGTGTTTGACCAGAGTTCTAGGTATTTCTTCTACATAACATGATATCATCCTTCATGTAAGTAGAGACAATAACCCCCTACCCAGACCTTGCTACTATTCTGTCCCTCTTACAAAGTCTTTCCATACTCTCTCAGTGAGAATTGTTTTTAGGATTTGTCCCTTGGGGATTTCAGCATTTCAGATTTCAGATAATTATATCAGCATTCAGGCTTCTAGTATTTATGATTATTTATGACTGGCTCCACATTGACATCTATCACTCAGAAGCAGCAAAATCTGGATACACATTGCAAAAAGTTAGAGGAACAGGCTTCACTTAATTCTTTCCACAGTATACTTAATGCAGACTAAAATTTTGCTCATGGCCAGCTGTGCTGGAGAGGGGCCTTTCTCATAGTTCCATCATCATGGAGAAAACAGATTACGGTTATTTTCATACTCCTGGCTTCAGTTTTTAAGCTTCATGGCTACAAGAATATATGGCTCATTTTACATCTGCATGCATGACATTTGATGGTGCTTTAAAAAAAAAAAAAAAAAAAAGAACTGGCTTTGTGTCTATATTGCAAACACTTTGGATAATTATGAGGAAAGAGCTTCAGCTTTAAATTAGCCACCAAGGTTAATAGCCAGATGTTCTGCAAGTAATATAACTAAGTAGAACCCAACATTTTGAGGGTGGCACCCCAGAGGTACCTCTGCATTCCATGTACCAAAATGAGATTTGGGCTTAGAAGTATGTTGGATTTGTCAGTCTATTTTTTATGGTCTGTATTTGTGGCTACATTTGGACCTTTAAAATAGATAGAGCATAAAACTTTTGTTGTTGTTTTTAAAGTATGCACTCAGAGAAAGGTTTTATTAATCAAAAAGAGAAGACTTTTTCTGTGTGACCCTCATGTCTGCTCAAATTAATTCTGAAAGCTAATTGTGTACTTGGAGTCACTGCTGTTTTAAAGCTAATGACTCCAACACTTGCCTGTCTTTGTGTCGGGGAACCCAGCACCAACCTTTGTGTTTGTCCCTGAAGTTGTGTGCATTTTAGTGACCTGCAAGCATGCACTGAGGTAGATTAAGTTTGTTCTGTGAAATGGTGCATTACTCTGGCTTTGGAACTCCAAGTTGAACAAAACGTATTTCTTAAGAGGATTATCATAAGAGTAAAACTGCAGCCCCTCTCTGTTAACTGCTTATTCAGGAAGCTAGTGCTTGCCTCTTTGCCTTGCTGGAAAGGCTATAGTAAGTTTGAAATACAAGAAACAGATTGTTGCTTCAAGGGATACATATTTTTACATATGCATCATACCTGTACCAAAATGTTCCAATTCATGCTTGTAAGCCTCTTATGTTCTGTATTTTGATATAATTTGTCAGTAATGTGTTATGGTTCACTTTAATTTTGCTTGTTTCTAAGAAAACATTAGAAAATACGATATTTTCAAATATAGCTTACACTGTATCAGTACATAAATGAAAATCTTCACTGAGACAGTGAATACTATACATGAATGCTATCTCTGTGGGAAACAAAAATAAATGAACTGAAGATTTGTTATTTCCGAGAAAATTCAAGGAAAACAAGGCTCCTTGAATTTCAGTTGATTTAATGCCTGAGAAAATTGATATAATTGAAGTTCCATAGTACTTAACATCTTCAAATATCCCTTCAGATCTCAAATTTAATTCCATGTAAAGTCCTGAGACAGCAGAATTTTTAGCTGGGAAATTTTGAATGTTTGGTAGAAAATGTAGATAGAGTAAACCTTTAAAATATCTTATACTTAAGACTTCACATTGCAGTAGAAATAGGAAGCATACTAAGCAGTACCCATGGGCTACTGCAACCTTTAGTAATAAAAATAACCATACTGCACAGTATTTCCTTTTTCATTCTCACTTGGTAGAAAACAGGCTTCATCTACTTCCTCTTGTTTTGTTAGGATACCTGTAAATAAATTTTTCTTTTCTACCACATAAATGTTCCTGTTTATCTGTTTTGTTTTTAAAATATTTAACATCTATACACGTGTGGTATATTTGATGAAATCCATTTCCCATTCTTTCCCTTTCAATTACTCCCCTATCTCCACCATCTCTTTTCACTTACAACCTAATGTGCTCATTTTTTTTTTCCTCCTAATACCCACTGAGTCCATTTAGTGCTCTCTGTATATGTGTGACTATAGGACCATCTATTGGGGGCATGGGTAGGCTTCAGGCTTGCTTTCCTGAAGAAAATTGACTCTTCCTCCCCAGTAGATTCTGTTGTCAATAGCTCCCCATGCAGGGGTAGAACTACAATAGCTCTGGAGTAACTGAGTTACTTCAAGTATGGCAGGGTTTTAGCTGCCTGAATTACAGGTCTTTCTGCCATTTATTATAAGTTGTTAAATGATAAGTCTCTCCAATTATTGCCCCGGTTTTATAGATGTAATATTCTTCTGATAATTGTATTATCCCTGCATAACTGTCTCCTTTCTCTGCAGTTACATTGTCTGCAGAGTAGCCTAGATTTCACTTAAATCTAAGAGAAACTAAAGACAATAGTCCTTGTCACCCACTCTGGAAGTATCTCTTGTCATTGATTATACTATCAACTGTGCTTACTCAATTGCCTTTTCTCTGAAAACTAGAAGATGTAAAACTGGATTGTGTGTGTGTAATGATGCCAACGTCTAAGAATCACAGCTGAAAATGAAGTTGAATCATTAACAAAGTGTAATGGTTTTAATTGATTGGTTTATTTATAACACGTTACTTTTTATTTTATTCAGTGTTAACAAAATGTAATTATTCAGCTAGAATACTTCCCTAGTTTTGTTTACAGTAAGCAAAAAAGTCTGAAGCCTTAAAGTATTTATGGGAAAAAAACAATTCACTCTGTTGTTTCTTATGAACTGATGGTTAGTGATAGAGATGTATACTCCCCAAATAAGATATCAAATGACTTTAAAGACCTAGGGGGTTCAGGTGAGGAAGTGATCATGAATTAAACCTTAACATATAGTAATGAAATACTTAATAGTTATATTAACTTGCATACCTTGATTGTGGAGTTGATTGGTGTTTGCCTATGACATAAATGACCCCCCCCAAAAAAATGGCTAGCATGTACTGAGAATCAAGACAATGGACAATGGAAGATAAAACATTCTTCTTGCTCATTATCCACTGAGAAGCAGACAAGTAGATGAATCCTATGAATGGTAAATAATAGCAAAATTAATTTAAGTATATGTAGTTCTAATGGGAAATAAATTTAAATCATTTTTTAAATTAAAACTGTGTTATAAATTAAAATCATTTCTATTTACAAGAGGAAAACTAGACATTGACTATATTGAGACATAATTAGATTGATCTGTATTATATTATTATATATATAATATATATAATATATAATGTATTAACTTGAATCTTGATTTATTTTGAAAGCTGTTAATAGTTGAGTATCTTAGACTGTGCTATAAAATGTATGCAAGAACTCTCCTTAGATTTGAAGTCACTTTTATTCCACCTTATACTACTCATGATTACCTGGAAATGTACTGGCACAGGAGTAAGGCATGAAAGGCAAAGTTCCTTCAGAGCTTGGTTTTGTTCTTAAATAAAACTTGTAGAAACTTTAGGAAAAGAAAAAAAATTACACTTATATTATACTTGAGAATTTTTTCTCAGAGTTCATAATTTTAAAAATGATAAATGACATTTATCATAATTTTTAAGTGGCTAGATTCCTCTTCCAAAATCTCTAAATCCTGAGATTAGAAAATGTTCATTCTGAGAAGTTTACAATTTGCAGGGGATCAGGTTTTGAATGACTAGTTAGAGGCATTTTTACAGTTTGTGTTCATTACAGTTACCTAAGACAGGACACATTAATAGGTCACTAATAGAGATTTATAACCTCTCACTGGCACTTCTAGCCCCCATTCTTAATCCAGAAGAAATTTGGCAAACTTTTAAACATTTCTATAGCTTTCAGTAAGTGTGTCATATACTTGGAGGAGTTAAGGGTGTTAAGGCCTTGCTCTCATGATCTCTGGCAATGTGTCAGGATTAGCACTTATTTTCCTTCTTGATTCTGAGAATTTAAGTTGAAGGCTTAAAATGAAAACAACAAAAATCTTTGGGCAAAGTTTGTGAGAGAGGAATTTTCAAGACCCTCATCCCTCACATTCCTATGGCTGTATACTATTAATAAGAAACTTATGGTTTCATGTCCTACAACTCCTTCCCTGTCATAGGCCAATCATAAGACTGGCAAAACTGGCAAAAATTAAGGAATTCAATCCTTCTCCTTTCCTCTCTCCTTCCCTCCCTCTCCTGCTTTTTCTCTTTTTCTTCTCCCCTCTCCCTCTCTCCTCTTTCTCTTTCTTCCTCTTCCCTCCTACCCTTGTCTCTCTTCTGTTTTTAAAATCTCTACTACTTCTGAGTAGTAGCTTTCAGTTTTATAGTCTTGTTTCCTGTCTTCCTTTTTGTCAATAGTCTCCTACATGACAGATATTTCCAACCACATATACTGAGCAAAATAGATGTATGTGTTTGCCTATAAAATGTTCCCTGGTTTAATATTTACAGTTGTGTATAACTGAAAATGTAAGTGTATGTTGTTAAAGTTGCATGTGTGTTCATTCTTTATATTAACAGGTAAACTGTGGACAAGAAGTATGAAGGTTGCTTACAACATTCTACATAAATTAGGTACAAAACAAGAACCTATGGTACGGCCTGGAGACAGGGTAAGTGAGGTTCAAATAATTAGATAACTTCTGTCTCACAATCCAAGGATTCAGCCTGTTCTTCCTTAGCAGAGTAAGATTGGATATGAAAGATAAACATTCATAATTTTGGGAAGTTTTGTGTGTTTTAATGCTTTGATCAGTTTCCTTAGACTTCTTGGCCTGCTTTGTGGGAAGAAATCATGAGGCAGTAGTCACCTGAGAACATTATAAACTTATAATTGTTTCTTGTTGCTTCATGAGCCTCAACCATCTGAAAATACGTTTCTCCATACACACAGACTTCCTCAGATAAAAGCAGATACACGGAACACCTCAGTCTCAAAGAATTGGTTTTTGTTAATATGCTTACACACACAAATAAGTCTTATTCCTTTTCCAACTTGTTCATCTAGCTGGTTTTATAGCATGTAGAAAAGAAATCATGTATTCTAGAACTTAATTTTTCCACCAACCATCCTATATTGTTAAATAGCCAGCATGACCAAATTTAAGATATACAGCTCTGTTACAAGCACTTTCCTGCCAGCCTGGTCCCACATCCACTTCAGTCCCAAATAATACAGAGAGACAATGTATTAGTTATAAAGCTGTTGCCCTGTTACTAGGATTTCTTATTGGCTAGCTCTGTCTTAAATATTAACTCATTTCTACCAATCTAAGTGTTTCATAATGGTCTTATCTTTCCAGAGAGAGGGTCTGGACCTCTTACTCCTCTTGCGGACCTACATTTTGAATCCTCTCTACTACATCTCCCAGAATCCTCCTTGTCTCCTAGTCCCACCTATCTTGTTTCCCTATAGGCCAATAGGGTTATTCATTAACCAATAACTCCTGCTTTCATTACTACCATCACAATCCTTTTATGCTAGCCTGTTTAGCTTATTTAAATGTTCTTACCAAAATTAATAAGGTCTATTTAGAACATTTTTTAAAGAACCCATTTGAAACTCCAGAATAAGAAACTGTAAAAATGATGCAGATGTGCTAAATCACTATATGTATGTGCCTGGGAAAATATACCCACTTTGGTTTGTAAAGTATTAATACTAAAGGTGCCACAACATGCTAGAGGAGCTTGTTTAAAATTAGAGGCGGCATCCTGAAGAACATAGTAGGGATCCTATAAAAACAAAACAGAACAAACAAAAGTACCATATAGGAGCTTTCTGAAACCAGAAAGTAGGAAGGAACATTAAGAGAGCATTAGGGTATGATAAACATTAAATTGGCTGTGCTTTAGTCATGTACCACACACTAATATCCAGTGACAGTTTGCATGTAGGATGCATCCCAGAAGATGTTGCTTAATCAAGTCGTAGTCATTTTAGTCTGCATGAATACATTCTCTGATACTGCCATAATTATAAAACAACCAAACACATTTCTCAGAAATATGTCAACACCAAAATTAAGTCTCTATTCATTTAAAAAGTATGGAGAATTTGAGTCAAATATTTATTACCTGTGAATATAAAGGAAACACATTTAAAACATCAAAATATACCAAAATGTGGAAATATATCAGGAAATCTTTGTTTCAAATATATTAGACACAAATTCCAGGGATCATAACAAGACACTGAAAGGAAAAATTTTGGAAATGTAAATTAATCTATAAGAGGAAAAAGTGTAACATTAAGATATGCCATGTTGTTAAGGAGTGTTGGAAAAATCTATTTAGTAATTACATCCAGCTTCATTCAGTAGTGGTTTATAATATTCTACTCTCAGACTGGCTGAACTGAGCAGGTTGGATGAACAAGGAAGGACCAGGAACAATCAAATACTGGTTAAATACTTATAATAGTTGGCAGTGAAAATGTGCATTGTACAATGTAAGAGACTGATGTTGAAATTATGCCAGGACTAGTAACGTGAATATTACTAGTAGTACATATTTATAGATACATATGATGTGGTATGTCATGCTCTACACAGAACTCTGTAAACCCTATGTTATTTGACCTTTACCATGACAATCATGTCTAGTTTCTATTATTGCTCCTTTTTTTCATACATGGAAACCAATGCTTAGAGAGGCCAGAATTATACCTAAGATCCCAGAACTCAGAAGAACCTTAGGATCTGAATTAAGTGTTATCTAGGTATAGATCTCAAGCTTTTGCCCATCTCCCTAGTAAAGAATTATACAAGCATTTAATTATGTATAATTAATTTTATAGTTGTGAAAACTGTATATCAGAATGTACTAGTAAAGAATTGTACAAGCATTTAATTATGTATAATTAATTTTATAGTTGTGAAAACTGCATATCAGAATGCAAGGAGTTGTTTATGTAGATCAGTGAAAAAAGTAAGAACACATTATGTACACTTTTTATGCATATAAAAATTACATGGCTATAGAAGATAAGAGGAAAGTATAAAATGAGCTATTGTCTAGTAATGGTGCTATAGTTTGTAGCTGTTAATGTTTCTCTTCCGAGTAAGTTGGGAAAAAAAGCATGGAACATTTATTAATGTATTTCTTACTATACATTTTACATAAAATTTTTTTTCTCATCATCCATCACTTTGAAATGTATTTTTGCTAGGTAGCCCACTATGGCCCTGAACTTACACTCCTTCTTCCTCAGCCTCCTGAGTACTGGTCTTATAGGTCTTTACTATACTGTGTTGGAGTTTTGGAATTTTCATGCTGTTGTCTGTGGAAAGATAAATTGTTCTGTTGTGTCTGCTCTGTGTCATTCTTGTCTCCAGGTGGCACTAGTGTTTCCTAACAATGACCCTGCTGCTTTCATGGTGGCCTTCTATGGTTGCCTTTTGGCTGAAGTTGTCCCTGTCCCCATTGAAGTGCCACTCACAAGAAAGGTAAAGAATTCCTTGTTCATTAATCCTACTTATAGGGAAGTGACAGGCTCAGTGGCAATTGAATGTTCTGGGTGAGAATGTGCCGACTACCATTTTATAAATGACTTTTTTATCTTTGCTGTGCCAAGTGCAGTGATGTGTAATCATTGTCTCTAAGACTTAGAACAGATTTTCATCTGTTTCATCTATTAAGGGAGCAGTTATTCACACATACAGCATGTCTCACCTGCAGGTGTGAGATCTCTTAGAGGTAAGTTTATTTGTCAGTACAACATGGAACTGTCTTATCTCGATCTATTTTCCCATTCCTTAGTATCATTCATAGAAAGCCAGGTCCATGATAGCACTCAATGACTCGTCTTGATTGTGGGTGGTGGTTCTTGCCTTGTGTTCAGTTGTCTTGATATCGTCAATTTCCAGGTTCACCTCTGGTTGGTCATATCGCTTTAATTAAGATGACTAAGTTTGCTGTTATCTTTATTATGTATTCTTACTGTGGAACCAATAAGAAGCTAATATTGTATATACTGCTCACTAACATAATTGCCAGTCCCTAATATGATTTGCTGTCATAGCCACCAGAGCTGTACAAGCTCTGATGTTAATGTTTTTGGGAATCTCCACACCATTTCCAGGATCACTATAGTAGTTTTCAGCACCACTAATAGTCTTGAGGGTTTACTTTTCTTTTTACTTTTAAAAAAATTTTTTGTAGTTTTAAATTTTTTAATTTAAATTAGAAACAAACTTGTTTTACATGTCAATTCCAGTTCCCGAACCCTCCCATTCTTCCCGCCCCCCCAACTCCGATCTAATCCCCTTTTTGCTCCCCTGGGAGGGTGTGGCCTTCCATGGGGAGTCTTCAAAGTCTGTCATATCATTTGGAGCAGGGCCTAGGCCCTCCCCCATGTGTCTAGGCTGAGAGAGTATCCCTCTATGTGGAATGGGCTCCCAAAGTCCATTTGTATAATAGATATAAATACTGAGGCCCCATACACTGCCCAGTCCTCCTAACTAACACCCATGATCAGGGGCTCTGGGTGGGTCCTAGCTAACAGACTGGGGGTCCATGAGCTCCCCTTGTTCAGGTCAGCAGCTTCTGTGGGTTTACTTTTCTTCACAGTCTTGCCCTCACCTCTTACTGTTCACCTGTTTGATAAAAAACTATTCCAACAGGTCTAAAACAATCTCACTGTGGTTTTAATTTGCATTTTTCTAACAGTGCTGCTGAACTTTCTTTCCTGCCCTGTGCCTGTAGAACATAGTATCCTGTTGGCCTGTGTGTATTTTTCTTAATTTTACCTGCCTGTTCTTACCTGAGGACAATTGGAAGTGGAATAAGATGTGTATGAGTAGGTAACAGTGTGTGGAGCCTAATTCTTGTATCTTCTTGTCCAAACATCCATTAGAGTTCCTGTAAAGGCCTCATTGAACACTCCTCATTCTCAATCCTGAAACTTGTTTAATGCCTAAGTAACAACTTGCCTTTAGTTTTTTTTTTTTTTTTTTTTTCCTCTAATCCTAGTAGTAAAAGGGAAACACCTAGGCATTTTTTTTTACAGAATAGTTGGTGATCCAACTTACAGGGACAGGAAGGGGCACAAGAGAAAGCCAACCTATAACCTTATCAGTGGGACTTGAATGCCATTGTACATTTGGAAATTGACTGTTACTATTCTCATGGTGTCTGAACCTGTACACATTTCTTTCAACCAAGTGAGTTTGCTAACCTGAAAAGTAAGTTAAGCCAAGATGTCCTTCAAGACCAAAGATTATCCATAGGTGTGATGATCTGTATACAATGTGATAGCTACTGTGCAGACCCAGCCAGGCTGGCAGAATAAAGAATCTGACTCTGTCTGTCTGTGTGTGTGTGTGTGTGTCTGTGTGTGTGTGTGTGTGTGTGTGTAGAATGAAACAGCCTGTTCTGGCCTGGTCATTCCCTTCCTGCTGTAACTTGAGCAGCCGTGTAACAGTCATTGGGATCTATGCTGCCTGAGCCTTTGTGTGTGCTGTCAAGGGTATCTGGCTTTCTCCAGAGAGCTCTGATCATGGTTGATTGGTTGCTTGTGTTAGTAAATGTTTCCAAATGGGGGCATGTGGCACTTGAATGTAATCATAGCAATAGGGATACTGAAACAGGCAGATTTCCCTCAATGAGGTCAATGTAGGCTACTGAATGAAACCCTGTCTGGGAAAAAAAACAAAACAAAACAGATGTTTCCAATACTATTTCAGATGAAACCTCTGGAAGGAGTAATCAAAGTCTTATATGCTTACAACTTTATATAAACAGAGTGACATTTTGAAACAGGCACTCGATAGACTTGGAATCTTGAACCACATAGAGGGAAAATAGTAGAGTTGGTGAAGGCTAGGAGAGATGAGGAGCAGTTGCATGCTAGGGTGAGGAAGAGCTGCTCCAGAAAGGGTAACCCCTAGCTGAAGTGTTATTATTTATACAGCATGGCAAACACCTGATTCACTTTCTTATATGCCTGGATATGGTATGTGAGTGTTCGTTAATGTTTGTGGACATACAAGTATTTATTTGAGCATGTGTGACCCTTATGTGTATTCATGTGCTAGATATTGTACATGGGTGGATAAGCTCGTGTGTGTGTGTGTGTGTGTGTGTGTGTGTGTGTGTGTATTGCACGCTCATGCTTATATGTTGAGTTCCTTGGTAAACATTTCCTATGAATATACACTTGTATAGTGAGGATGATTGATGAGGCCAGCATGATTAAAAATTTATCATTATTAACATTGAATGATCTATACATGAGGATGCTTTTTCTTATCTGACTTTGTATGTGCTTAAACATTCCCATTATAGACAGAGTTAAAAAGACAATTGATAAACCTTTGATGAAAATTTGATATGATAGTGTGAGGAGTTACTGCTACAGAGGCCACATACAAGTTATTTATAAACAATGACATCAAGTAGCCTTTTCTATGTTGAAGAAATTTTTGGAAATAGAGATATTTGAATTCATGTTTGGTGTGACTTTTATTAAATGGGAAAAATTATAGACTTTGATTGTAAAGGGAATGATCATCTGCTGGCCTTAGTGTTATAGAACTGCCAGGGATTGATGGGTGGGAGTTGTGCCTCTCCTCCCTCTCAGAGTGTGGTATGTTTACATATCTGCTCTGAATTGAGAAAGAGACTGCCTGTCAGAGCCATGATTTTTCATATGGGCAAAGTATTTGGCAAATGATATCAAGGTCAGAGTATGTATCTGTGAGGATTTATCTCATTTCACATCCTGAGATGTGGTATTTCCCTGGCTTAGCCTTTATTCCAGCCAGATGGAGGCAGATACCTTTCCAGGGACCTTGTAGACCATAGGAAGCCATTGCTGCTATGGGGATTTGTAGCTGTTTATCTTCTTCTTGGGTCAGGAGCAGAGATTGTGAGGACCCCAAAGTTCTTGTTTTGCCTTTTGTTTTGATGTGGTCTGATGCACCATCTTGGTTGAATGTTGAATGTAGGCGAAGCAGGCTATAGTATGTTTGTTGCTACCCTGAGGGTACTGTGAATGACTTGGCAGACTTTTTAGGAAGCTATGTCTAGTGCCTGGAAAAGAACGTTTATAGAATAGGAGGTAAAATTAGAGACAACATTTAATACTGACAACAGTCTTGAAATCTTGGTCCTGCTTTCATATGGTTTTTATTCTTTTTTATATTTCAGGGCTGTCCTTCTTGTGCCAGTCTCCTCTCCCATTTTGTCATGCACTGTCTCTTTTTAAAAATTTTATCCATACTGGGATTGAATACCCCAGGAATTCATACATGTCTACTAAATGCTCTTTCTACTTAATTATGTTTCTAGCTTTTAGGGGTCTATTTTGGAGAAAGGAAAGGTTGGGCTCCTGGTGTTAGGCCCAAGGTCAGCATGTCATACCCTATTGTTTGTAGTATGCTGCAAGTAGCTGTGGGTAACTCTGACCCCAGTCACTCCTCACTGGGAGACAGCTGTGGTGTTTGCCTGTCTCAGCAAGGCATTCATAAGTTTAGCATCAGCCCACTTGCTGATGCTAAAACCTACCTCTTCTGCCTGCTTCACTCCATCTGAGGAGTAGTGTTTAATTTTGACTTTACTTGAAAACAATATTGCAACAATAAAAAGTTCCACAAAAACAAGTGTTCAAAATAGGGACTGACCCTGTATAGTAAAGTCCATATCATCTCTCTCATTGCAGAGTTGTCTTAATTATACAATTAGCTTGTTGGCTTTTGCTCCCTGAACCAAAAAAAAAAAAAAAAAAAATCCATGTAAGCAGATTTTCAATTTACATTAGGAAAAGTATAATCTGAACATTTAGCAGAAAACAGCTTTGAAATCTTAATGCTGATGAATACTAAAGTACTCTACTTTCCCCAGTTATTCCTGAGACAGGCAGGAGATTCAACAAGCCAGACTTCCTGAAGGTTGTTCATAGGGTCAAGCTGGGTGTAGTAGCCTCAGCTATCCTACACCATGATATGTTTTTAGTTCTAGAAATGCTGGATACTATGAGACTTAATTTTGCTTTTCAAGCCAACAACATAGTAGTAGAGCTGATGGGAAAAAAGTTGAATCTAGTTGACTAGGCTATTTAATCATCTGTCTTCATGAGAAGCAGGGACAGTAAAACTCACATTGGGAGGCAGCTACTATGGCTATTGCAGTCTGGGACAGCCCCATCTGTGACATCTACTGAAAGGTGACATTTAGTCCTGACATCTTGGTGCCTTCCTAGGCTTTCTGTCTCCAGAGTCATTGCCCTATACCCATAGCCAATTTTAATGTACATTGGTTACTCCATTGAGATGTGATGTATACTATATAAAAAAGGTGATCCTCCTTCTGGATGAAGATTCCTCTTGGTTCTAACAAGTCTGTGACTGTGTGAAAAATCAGTTTGCTATGTATTCATGTTATAGATAATTTCTCTCCATGATAATGAAGCCTTAAGATCACTGTCTTTGTTTTTTTTAATTTACAACTTTTATTGAATATATAACCCCTCCCAAATTCTCTTCACTTTCCTATCCACCCAAATTTTTTATGTGTGTGCTCACACTTAGGAGCTTTCTCGTGCTGTCTTTCAGTCTTGTCTCTCTTCCACTTCTCTCTCTTTCTGTTACACATATATATTTGTGCACACAAATGGGAGAAAAGGGTCTTGGGGAGGGCAGTTCATTTCCATGTACCCTAGATGATGAGGCAGTTCCTTGGCCAGGAGTACAGTTTTGTCTTAGATTTTTGTTGTTTGAGACAGGGTTTCTCTGTGAAGCCCTAGCTGTTCTGGAACTCATTCTGTAGACCAGGCTGACCTCAAACTCACAGAGATTTCCCTGCCTCTGCCTCATGAGTGCTGGGATTAAAGGCATGCACCACCATTGGCTGGCTTGTCTTAGATTCTGAACTCTTTTTTTTGTTGTTGTTGTTTTTTATCACTTTTCAGGATGCAGGGAGCCAACAGATAGGTTTCTTGCTTGGAAGCTGTGGAGTAACTGTTGCCTTGACTAGCGATGCTTGTCACAAAGGACTTCCAAAAAGCCCAACAGGAGAGATCCCACAGTTCAAAGGTATGTCAGAGCCTCTGAGAATTTGCTTCCCCTTTCAATCTTTCATTCTATAAACTGGCTCTTCATTGTGAAACAATGTTCAATTGAGTCCAGGTTAAAATTTTTCTAGATCAACATTTTGATAATAGGTGTAGCTCATCTGTGACTGGTGGTGTCTTGAGTACCCTTTTGATGATACTGTCTTCAGTTTAGCATATGGGTATGCTAGAGAGTCCATGTAGTCTGAAGTGATGTTTGAAAACAAGCTGTGTAATCAAAAAGAAATTTTATAGACCTGTTTTGTAGTTTCTATTTACTTAAAAGGAATTCATGATTTATTTCTAAGGTTGGCCAAAGCTGCTATGGTTTGTCACAGAATCAAAACACCTCTCTAAACCTCCTAGGGACTGGTTTCCACACATCAAAGATGCAAATAATGACACAGCTTATATTGAGGTAAGATGGATGTCATCCTTCCCCAGGATCTGGGTGTTTAAACTGGGAAAAGGCATGCGTTTCTCCTCATTAAACTAGTTCCAGTGTGGAGAGACTCACAGAGTCTCAAATAGCTAAAAGCTATTGAGTGAGGACCAGAAGTATGTTAAAATCCCTTTCCTAACTTTCTGTCTCGTTTCAGTATAAGACATGTAAAGACGGAAGTGTTCTTGGGGTGACCGTGACGAGGATAGCACTGCTGACACATTGCCAGGCACTCACACAAGCCTGCGGCTATACAGAAGGTGTGGATGGCCATGAGACTCCCTTGGATCTGGGTTTTTGGAGATGCCCCACTGACCAGGGATGCCTAATGGCAAGCCAACTTGTGTGGTTCCTACTGGTACTCAAAAAAGTGTATTCTGTTTGTGCCCAATTCCATCTATCGGTTTGTGACTTTAAGTGGTTGAGTTAGGACATCAACTTGAACTGGTGTTACAGAGGCACAGGTACTACAAAAGAAATTCTGAAATGAGAATGCTGGCAATATAGGCTCTACCATCCTTCTAGATAATCTTATTGTGACCTCTTATGACATTTTCTATGTGGCACCTATGGAGTCCTGCCCATGTCCTCATTTAATATTTATTATATTCTTGAAGGCTCATCCCCACAAGAGGTATTAACACATGGATTTGGAGATTTGTGGTTTAGTTCACAGTTGGCGCACCATATTAATCCCCACCAGCATGTGAATATATATCTTTAGAATCTCTTTTTCTTTGTGTGCCATGTTTCAGACCACTGTGCACTGTTGAATAAGAAGTTTTGAGAATAGGTTTTTAAGCTTTGCTAGAGGACAGTTTTTCCTGGTGTGTTTTCTCTGGTTATGAGAAGCAGAGGTAGAGTGTATGGTAGTAACTATGATAATAGGTTTGAGTGGACATAGAGAAGGAAGCTAATGCAACCACCTCCAAGAGCCTTTGATTTGTTGCCCCAACTACCTTTTCAGGGAGGGCATAGTCACAGCAGACAACTCTACACTGACATCAGTTTCTGAGACCTGAGGAAGCAAGTGGTATTCTCTAAATTCACTTCTAAGTGATTTTTCTTTTCTTGCAGTTTATATGATCTTCCCATCCTTGCCCCTTTTAAGAATGATTTGTCTGTTAGATGTGCTCTATTAGTGGTTAGACTGTTTAACACTTAGTCCTCTAATCTGTGCTATTCTTTTTGTCAAAACATAATGACTTGGGTGTCCTGGCCTGCATGCTTTGAAGTTCTGAGGCTGTTACCCTTTAGATATCAGAAGCAAATATAAACACATACACATATAAAATTTTTCTACTTTAAATTTATAAAAAGGTATCTAGGATATTTTCTTTAGATATCTGCATTTCAATTTTGTTTGTCTGGTCTACCTCCATATTTTAGTCTCTGATAGGTGACCAGGAGATAGAATGTTTGAGCCTTTGTTAAATATTTCCAGAAGGAATGAGTAACCCTAAGACCTCACATTGGTAAATGCCCAGGACACTGAAAAGTGGCCAAGAGCCTGTATACAGATGACCAAAGTGCCCTAGAATCAATTTGATAAGAATAAGGTCAAATGAAGGACTAAAATCTTCAGTGCCAGGCTGTCCAGCATCACTTCCTCAGTCTTTGGAAATAATTGTTTTCAACAACATACTTTGCAGCTTTTTTCCCTGTCCTTTTCCTTTTGGAATTCTCATCCCCATGCTGCTCCAATATTATACCATCCCTGTCTTGAGGTACCTTAGACCCTTTATTAACTCACCCCTACTGCTGTTAAACAGTTCTATTATGACAAAACAAGCCTGTGCATTACTAAAATCTCTGCCCCCCCCCAATGTTTTCCTGTGATGGAAAACTAGGTCATGTGGGAAAAATTAAAAGAAAACCCCAGGAAGGTGGAACATAAATAGAATGGTAATACTCTGTTTGGGGATAGGTTGTTATGTGCAGTGTTTTAGAAGTCTCACTGTATGCTCAAGCTGGCTTTGAATTAGCTGTATAGCCAGGCCTGTGGTGATCCTCTCTCAGCATCTCAAGTGCTGTCATCACAGCCCTGCATCACCATGTCTGATACTGGTAACATGCTTTTCAATGGTGATGTGTGGGCAGCTATTGCTGTTCACTGACATACCCAAATATTATCCTGAAAACACTCTCCAGCCTGGCCAGCATTTCTGTAAATGACTGTAAAATTTCTGTGAATAAAGAGTAATATGGTATTCTAAGATCCAGGATGACCCCTTCAGATGATGGGTTTTTCTTGCAATTTCACTCCTGTTGCTGCTCTATCATGTCAAGTAAAGCTGTGATTTTATTTTTCTTATACAGCTGAAACCATTGTGAATGTTCTAGACTTCAAAAAGGATGTGGGGCTATGGCATGGCATATTGACAGTAAGTAAGCCCTCTTCATGCCTCAAAGTATCTATTATACACGTGTCCAACTTCTGCAAAGTCGCTTCTTACCTTGTAAACAAAGAAATCTTGTGGTAGGAGTCATATTGCCCATTCAGCCAGCTTACTTTAACAGTATAGTAAAGACATTTGATCTCAGAAAAGCTGTTTTGAATCTTGGACCTGATTGGAGAGATATTTGTCTCATTATTAGTGCCACTTGCAAAGTGATGACTGAGCTGGCTGTGGGTACATTAGGAGAGAAATGATCTTAGATTTTTGAATGTCTTGTTGGTACTTAATAAAAGAAGAGAGAAAGAGAAAGAGAACAAAAACACATGCTTGGGATTCTCTATCTCATTAGGGCAGTTTTAACTGATTTTTTTTTTCTTAGTAGTTTTTTATGCTTAAACGTCATTTTATTTTCTGAAGTAGAAGACTCCAGTAAATTTTACATAAATGATGAGAATATAAACATTGCAGTTTGCTGTTTGCTGGTGAGCCAGATCTATTTGTATGATCCATGAACATATAATATCTTGTAGATAGCTCAGTAAGGCTTACTTTTAACATCTGGATGGTTTGAAATGTTGGTATACTGGTGTGTGCTATTGCAAAGGGAATAACACAGGTTTGGGATTATAAAATTAAGAAACCTGAGCTTGTATCTGTGACTCTAGGGATTGTAATATTCGTGTATAAAAGATGGTGGGTTTTTTTTTTGTTTTTTTTGTTTTTATTTTTTTTTCTTTCTTTTTTTCCCAGCACTGGAAATTAAATGCAAGGCTTTTTGAATCTTAGACAAATGCTTCCATTGAGCAGAGCTTGGCTATTTTGTTTTTTGTTTGTTTATTTGGTTGTGGTTTTGGTTTTTTGTCTTTTTGTTTGTTTGTTTGATGGGTTTCTCTGTTTAACAGCCCTGGTATCCGGGAACTTGCTTTATAGACCAGGCTCTTCCTCCCAAGTGCTGGGATTAAAGGTGTGTGCCACCACACCCCAAGCCAAATTTGGTATCTTGACTGATCTTGAATATGGAATCATCCTGCCTCAACCTTCCAAGTAGCTAGGTCACCTGGCAACATCCATTTATTAATAGAATCAAATGAGAATAGTCTAGCCTGTTGTGTTTGGCATAAGAATGATGTGGCTTGGTGTTGAGTAAGCATATAGCCTACATGTGTTTCCCTTGTCACATCCTCAAGAACAGAAATGGTTACTATTAGAGTTAGTATCTCTAGTAGCACATGCCATGGTTCTGATTATGCATTGTCTTCTGTATTTCTGCTTCCTAGTCCTCACTGACAGTATCACCAATTCTGCTCAAGAGGCTTTCTTTTTTAACACACTTTAATTCTGTTGTTCTGCTTCCCTGTCTTACCTGGTAATTTGTGAGTCTCTTTTGTTGACTTCTTCTAAAGCCAGATGATCGAATACATTGTATAGGATATTCTTTGCCTCATCCTTGGGGTGTATAAGCTCCTTGTTCCCAGAACTCAGTGGTAAGAATCCCCTCCCAAAAAAATAAAGCTGGGTTTGCATAAGCTCTATGGAGACCTTATTCTTGGTAAGGGATATATGGTGGTCTTTTCATTTGGAGCTTCTTCCTTTGAAGCTGTGATTCCCCAGTGTACATAAGCCAAGCCAAAGCACTGACTTGCTCTTTACAGTCTGTAGTCCTTCCTGGGGTTGTGCTGAAGATCAGTATATCTGCAAGGCATGTGAGTCTTAATCACAACCTATGTGTGTTGACCATTTTTATAGTCAGCTTGCATCATCTGCTTTTAGGAACTGTCAGAGAGTTTCAATCTATGTTGGCAAGGCTGGATGGAGACTGTTTCTGACACCTTTCCAAAGTTGCTTTCTTTATAGTCTATTAGCTAGCAACATTAATTGTGGAGACAGCTATTATACTCTTCTTTAAAAATGAATCAGATTTAGAATAAAAGACTATAAAGCTAAGTGTTATATATTTGTTAGTAATTGACAATTATCTGTTTAAGTAGTCTCATGTGACATTTCAGTATATGTACTATGTGTTAAGATGAGAGTAGAGTAATTGGTGTGGGGACATGTATCATTGTAATTACAGAAACATTCAGAATTTCTCTAGTCCTTATACTAAAGCTATCAGTCTTGTCCATCTTTGTTATCCTATTGTGCTGAAGAAATTTAAAAGTTACCATTTATTGTTCAGTTGACTAAAATTAAGTGTAGGATATTAGAGGTTAATCTTCCTGTCTAGCTATGTTCTATGTGTATTTACCACCTCTTCATCCCATTGTATCTTCCATTTCAAGCTTCTTCTAATAACACTGCTTTATTTACCTCTTCTTTGAGACCAACATTTAAGCTTCCACATATAAATAACACCATGCAGTAATTTGTCTTCCTGTGTCTGGCTGATTAACATCATGTCCCCCAGTCAGTCCCATATTGCAACACATAGCAGGATTCCATTCTTATATCTTCATGTGTTCATGTATCATATTTTCTACCCATTCCTCCATTGACAGGTAGCTAGATTAAGTTTGTATCATGGCTGTTTGAGATAGAGCTATAGTGAGCTCATGAATATGATGTCTCTTCAACATAATGATTTCAGTTCTTCTGTAAATATGCACAGCAGTGATCCTGGTGGATCATATTTTAGTTATCTTGTTATTATTGTTTGTATTTGGGGTTTCATGTATGTGTGTTTTGCAGTCCTTGAACAGTTTTTCAGTATGGCTATACTAATGTACATTGCCACTAAGTTTCTTTGAGATTACCACTTCTCTGAGTATTTACTAGCATTTTCCCTCTTTTTTTTTTTTTTTTTTTTTTTTTTTTTTTTGTGATAGCCATTCTGAGAAGGATGATAACTCATTTAGTTTTGACTTTCATTTCCCTGGTTTGATGTGTGTATTGTACTCTGTATATGTGCCCATGTGTGGTATATGTACTTGTTAGTGTAGATATATGCAGGTTCCTGTGCATATGTGTGTGTAGAAGCCAAAGTTAAATGTCTGATACCTTTAACATTTTTATACAGGGTCTTTTTCTGAAGCTGAAGCTCATTGATTGGATTGGGCTGGCTAACTAGTGAGCTTCAGAGATTTCCCTGTCTTTGTCTCTTCACTCCCCCCCAAGGGTGGGACTTACAGACACATGACATCATATACAACTTTTTCATGCATATTGGGGGATCAGAACTTGACCGGCAGGCACTTTTCCAACTGAACCATTTGCACACCCTGTGCATCTACTTATGAAAAGTGCCTTTTGAGGTTCTTTTTAATACAAGGTTTTAATGAGAAAAGTATTTGGAACTTAAAATTCTTTGATTCTGTAAGTAGTAGTTGAGAAGCAGAGAGGATCTCCAAGAGGTCACTTTGTCTTAAAAGATTGTACCAGAGTATACCCTAATAACACAGAGCCTCACCTGAGTCAGCCATCTGCTTGTCCCCCAAAGCTCCTTTTGTGTTAGTTAACCTCAATACCTCCTTGAAGTGCTCATGTTTATTCTTCTGACTGCTGAGCTCTGGCTTACTTACCCTTCATCATAACAGTGAGCCTCTCTCCTCTTGTATTTCAACCTCTTTTCTTACCTCTTATGTTCATTGTTGGTTTCAGAGTGTCATGAACATGATGCACGTCATCAGCATCCCATACTCACTGATGAAGGTAAACCCCCTCTCCTGGATCCAGAAAGTCTGCCAATACAAAGGTTGGTCTCTCCTGGGCCTGTGGGTGATTTGGTGACAAGATAATTCACTATTCCCTGTGAATTGCAATCATCTGTCTTTTTCAGGTTTGTACAGTCTGGCAGAGACATATCATAACTTCTGTTTTCCTTTGTAGCAAAAGTGGCTTGTGTGAAATCAAGAGACATGCACTGGGCACTTGTAGCACATAGAGATCAGAGAGATGTCAACCTATCCTCTCTTCGAATGTTAATAGTGGCTGATGGAGCAAATCCCTGTAAGTGAAGCATCAATTGTAGATTTGAAGATGGGCAAGTTTCAGCGTTCCTTGTTTTCCACATGTTGTTCTTGTCACCTAAATGGCTTTTTATTTGTTTGTTTGTTTGTTTTCCTAATCTGTATCTTGGTTGAGATTATCTTAAATTAACCAAGTAGTGCTCTTCTTAAATACCAGGATAACAGAATGCTTAAGAACAGGATGTTTACAGACTGCAGGCCTAAAATCAAAAGAAGAGATACTTCCTTTTTGAATTTTGTTTTCTCAACTCTACAGTGATAGTCAGAGCATAATGCTTGAGTATTAAAAGGGTCAATTCCTAAGTATAGTTCTTTGGCATATAATGAAAGCACAGGAAACACTATGTTATGGTCCTTTGATCAACATCAAGATATATATATATATATATATATATATATATATATATATATATATATATGTAATTTACTTACTTTCTTACTTACTTACTTATTAGTTGTACAAGACAGGGTTTAATCTATGTAACAGCCCTGGCTGTCCTGGAACTTAGTCTGTAGGCAAGGCTGGTCTTGAACTCACAGAGATCCACCTGTCTCTGCTTCCCAGGTGTGAGATTAAAGGCATATACCACTGCCCCCCCCCCAGCTAAGCTTTCATTTTTAATAAAACTTTGCTATAAAATACTTTAACGAAAACTCAGATAAAATAAATTAGCATTCCATAAAATATTCCTTATGTGCCTTGAAATAGCTTGTTTTTTTTTTTTGTGAAACAGGTCTATAAAGTCAGAAGCCATGTGTCAGAATAGAACTGAATGAAAGACTGTTTCGATCTCATCTGTAAACTAGGCATAGCTGTATTTCTAAATTAAAGCAGGCTACATTTTATTGATACCTGGCAAGTGAAAGTGAGCTTAGAAACAGATCACTGGGTTTATAAATGATTCCTTCACTTCTAAAATAATTGAATAAAATGTGAACTAGTTAAATAATTAATTTTAATAGACATCACCACAGAATATCTTGCATAAAACAAAGTAAATTTTGTTTTTGAAAGTATGAATTTTATGAGTTCTTATCAATTAACCTTTTCTTTGTTTAGATTGACACATTTTTCTGGAATGTGCATATTCAAAGTGGTAGACCAGGTTTCAGGGAAGTTAATAAAATAAATTCATTAGTTAGCAAAAACTAGAAGTTGCAATTTTTGAATTCTTGTTCTAAAGGCTTACCATTATTATCTTTCAGTGTAACAAAAAATAACTGTAGTTAATGTTTTTATTTCTCCATGGTGCCTTATTCTGTTTATATCTGAATCCAAACTTCAAAATTATTTTGCTATTTTGGGATAATTTTAAGTCATTCGCAGTGTTACACTTATCTGACCATTGTCTCTCTTTTTCTCTAGGGTCTATTTCTTCTTGTGATGCATTTCTCAATGTCTTCCAGAGTAAAGGCCTTCGACAGGAGGTCATCTGTCCCTGTGCTAGCTCACCAGAGGCCCTAACTGTGGCAATCCGGAGGTACTGGGTCATAATGGAATAACTGAAAAAGGGAGAAATCATAGTAATTAGTGCTTAGTATGAGCTTAGGAATAGTCTTAGGAATAGCCTTCAAGTTCTTTGTGGATTCTCTTGAATTCTCTAGATTGGTTAGTTAGAGAAATATTTCTATTTTTTTTTTTTCCAGTTTCACTGTCTTTCCTGAGTTGTTAGATCTTTGTTTCAGAATATGTGGGACCCATATGATTTTCAAATGCAGTATTCAATTTTCATTGGCTTGTGCAAATCTCTGGTTTTTATTTATGGGGTGGAATGAAGTAATTATTGAACATGATCCTGGAATATGGTATTATTGTCATCTCTACTTTTTGTCCCATGGAAAAATGTACTTTAAGAAACTTAGCCAGATGTAAAAGCACACACCTTTAACACCTTTAATTCCTACATAGGAGGCAGAGGTAACTGGATCTTTGTAAGTTCATGGCCTATCTGGTCCACATAGGCCAGATAGGCATCACATAGTAAGATACTGTTGGGAGAAAAAAAAAGAAGGAAAGGAAAAGAAATGAAACCATGGTTTTCTGAGCAGCGTGGTGGTACATCAGTAGCTCTGAGGACTGTGATAACTAGTTGTCTCACAGCCTGGCCATTGAGTGTTATGAGCTGCTTTTGCTGGGAATGATATTATTCACTATTAATAATAAGTCACTCCAGCTTGCTTCAGAGTAGTGCAGTACAGGGGAGGGAAGTAGTTCTAGATATGTAAGGTTTATTCTACTCTACTGAGAAAAGCTAGGCCCTGTAAAGGAATAAAAGGAAGGATCACGTGATCAACATCATCAGTAATTGCTGGCCTTTCAGTTATCAACACTAACATAAAGAAGCATTAGCAGCATAAATGTCTTTAAAATGATTTTGGGTCTTACCTTTAAGTGGCTTGTATTCCATGTAATGGATGTGCACTCCATTATGAAAATAGGTAACATTGAGAAAATAGGTAACATTCAAACGTAGAAGCTATGTTTTATTATTTCAGTAGAAGAGAGTATGTTCCATCCCTTATAAATTCAATGGATCATACACATGTGAAAACCAATCGTGAAAGTAGCAGAGGAACATGTTTGGAAGAGGCTCAACATAGGTAGGAAGGAAATGAAGGGAGGGTAATTGGAGGATGAAAATAACCAAAACATATTACACATGTGTTTGAAATTGTCAAAGAATTTTTAAAATTTAAAAATAGAGCTTCCTAAAAATATTGATCTGAAGAATGTATTAGTTACTTTTCTTGTTGTGATGAAATATTTGACAAAAGGAACTTAGGGAAGGAAGGGCTCCTTTTTTGTGGAACAGATTGAGAATATAGTCCATTGGGGCAGGGAAGCATGGTAGCAAGAGTGTGAGATAACAGTTTACATTGTGTCATTGTTAAGAGGCTGAGAGAGATAAATGCTAGTTCAGCTAGCTTTCTCTCTTTTGTTCAATTGGAACCCCAGTTCAATAGATGATGTCATATTTATTCAGTGTGTATCTTTGATCATCAGTTAAACCTTCCTGCAAATACCTTTTCATGTGCCCCAAGAGGTTTATTTTCTAGGTAATTTCACTTTTAGTGAAGTTGGTCATGAAATTTAACCATTACAGATAATTTCTGTAAGTAAGAAACTCTGTGACATTCTTAGATTTTTGTTGTATTATTAACTATATTGTATGCTTGAGAAAATAAAATTTTCTAAAGTATGAGCTACTTTTAATCTTGTCAAACTAGAAAACATGATGAAACATGTTATTAGCAAGAGTTTATTCTCCATCCTTTAGAAGTATTGTATTGTAGGTGCTCTCTGAATTACCTGACGTTTGTGTTTGACCTTGAAACATAAAGCATACATAGGGTTGTATAGCACAGGAGATGTATCCTAATTGTCTTCTTCCAAGATCAGTTTTTAAATGTGCTTTATTTGTGCTCCTAAGAGTAGATACCAAGTAGATGGGGGCCAAGAGTCCAGAGTCTTAAGTTTGACTTCAACCTTACTGATGCTTGGCCACATAACCTTCACAACAGCACATGTTCCAGAGCTTTAGTTTATTCCATTAAAAGTGAGAGATTGGATACAGTAATTTCTAAATTGTCTTTTGTATAAATATTTAAGATTTTACAGTGATGATAAATAGATGATAAATAGCCATTAAATAGGTCACAAATGTGATCCACATGTATAGATTGGATTGGATAATTTGCTCTTCCTGCAAATGTGTCCTTGATGGTGAAGTTTTCATTGTAGGTCTTAAATGTTAATCACCACAAAAAAAGTATCTAGGTTCATTGTTCTCAAAGGATGCTTCACTTTCATCACCATTTTTTAACTGGTGTTAACTGAGCAGAAAATAGAATATGTGATATGATCACTGAGGCTAATTTAGTTGTTGCTGTTGGTTTTATTTTATTGAAACACAAGAGTCTTGATATGTAGCTCAGTCTGGCTTTGAACTTGGACCCTGTCCTAGTCCCTGTTCTATTGCTGTGAAGAAACACCATGACCAAGGCAACTCTTATAAAAGAAAGTATTTAACTCAGGGCTTGCTTAGAGTTTCAGAGATTAAGTTCATTATCATGTCAAAGAGCATGGCCCCATGCAGGCAGGCATGGTGCTTTGGTAATAGTCAAGAGCTACATCCTGATCTGTTGGCAACAGACAGAGAGAGACACTGGGTCTGGCATGTACTTTATGAAACCTCAAAACCAACCACCCAACAAGGCCACACCTCCTAATCCTTCTTGTACAGTGCCATTCTCTGATGAGCAAGCATTCAAATATATGGCCATTCTTATTCAAACCACTGAAGAATCCTCCTGCATTTACAAGCATGTCTTACCATGCTTGGTTACCTTGTCAGAATTTTCTCTTGTAAACCTTTTTTTTTTTTCCTCCAGAAATTTAAAAGATTATAGGTCAAAAGAAGAAAGATTCATCATTTTGAGAGCCAAAATATCTGTGTATAATCCTGAAATATTTTCAGTAAGAATATTTTATAAGCCTTAAGAATTCCATTTATTCACTTTTATATCCTTACATTCAGCCCTTGCTGTTTGACCTCTCTGGTACAAGCTAGCATATGTTCTCTTGGACTCCGTCACTCATACTTGTGGCTGTAGTTACTATAGTACTGCCCTAAACATAGCATGCTAGAGTTGTTTTGAGGAAGCTAATGTGACTGAGATTGTTATCTCAAGACACTATAGGAGGTAGAAATAATTTCTATGAGCTCTTTGGGTTTTAAATATCTATAGAAAAGAGGAAAACATCTGGAAAGATATGTGGGGCTAAATAGAGATGACTTAGTATTTAAGCATGAAGACTGAGTTCAATCCGAACTATCTACGTTTTGAAAATGGGGGTAGTTGTTGGGCACACAGTGCATGCCTGTAATTGTAGCACTAGTAAGCAGAGACAGAGGAAGATCCCAGGCTTAGACAGTTCAGACAAACTGTTGAGCTCCAGGTTTAATGAGAGGTCCTGCCTCAAAATATAAGGTGGAGAGTGATTTAGGAAAACACCTCATATCAATCTCTGATCTCCACTGGTACACCACACACACACACACACACACACACACACACACACACACACACAAGAAAAATATACCACTTAAGTAGGTGCTGTAACAAGTATATCTTCAGTTTATCTTCATTTTCCCATCACCATGTACTCTCTGGAAACAGAATAGAATATGAGGCCAAATTCTGTGTTCAGAGAGCAAATGTGATCGTGAAGTAATAAGTGCAACTATTTTCTATGATCTTATAACACAAATTTCTTTCTTAGTTATCTCAACTGGTAACAAATAATATAATTCTTCTTGACAATTCAATTCCTGCCTACATTCTGGGTCTAAATTGGTTTTACTGAAAATTCAATGATCTAATCTCTAGAAATAACTTTACTTCTCCAAGTTTTGGCCAAGTGAGAAAAGAAAAATGGTCCCTCACAGAGTACCTTGCTTTGTCCTTCCCTGAAACGGGTTCAGTTTCTCTTCCAGTGTTGAGGGACTACCTTTGCCTCATAGTGCCATCTTCCCTTTGCTAAGCAGAGAGTAGAATGGTATGATTCGTCTCTGATGGTTATATTTTGGTTTATATCTCTGGAAGACAATATTTCAGGGCCAAGGATACTTCAGTCCTGTAGAGTTTGCCTGGCAGAGTTTAGCGCTTCTGCACAAAGTCCTTTCCAAGTTCCTCTGAACAATCTCGAAGCCAGTAGAGGAATGGGATTGTATACTGGCGTGGCAAATAAGACCTTTCTGTACCTGTGCCCCCTACCCTTTGTGTAGATGGTTATGAAAATTATTCGGAGACCTTAGGTATAGAAAGACAGGTATGTGACACCACATTCCTTCAACTCACACTAAACACCCTTAAAATGAAGCAGCAGGGTTTGAGTAATGTTGGAAATTATAGTATAGTTTCTAATCTAAATTTTATTTCTGAATGCTACCTTGAGTAATTTTTGGATGACTGATTCATGTCCTAGAGGAGACCTGTGGTTCTTTAGAGAAACATGGCTGCTTATGACAAAAAAGAATCAATGAAGGGCCTAAGGAAATGGCTTAATTGGTAGTGTACTTGCTTTATAAGCATGATGATCTGAGTTTGGGTCTCCACCAGTCATATAAAAAGCTGGGTGCAATGGTACACATCTTTAGCCTAGTGCTGGAGACTTGGAGATGGGCAAATTTGGAGCTTGATGGCCAGCCGGTCTAGTGAAATGGTGATCTACAGGTCCAATGAGAGACCCTGTCTCAGAAAAATAAGGTGGAGAGTAATTGAGAAGACATCCAGTATTGGTCAACCTGATCAACCTCTGATCTCCATGCTCAGAACAACGATCATTGATGCTTGTCTTTAAGGGATCTCCTGAGTTGCCACAGTGCCAAGTCTGTACAAAGCTTGCCCCTTTACTGTGCTATGCTAGAACTTGTATTGTTTTACATGGACATATCTGTGTGCTTTTGAATAACTAGGC